CAAATGGTGTAGTTTCTGATTCTGGGAGGAAGAAGAAGGATAAAAAAGTAATTTTGGGTTTGGAATCTGTAGGTGAAGGAGTTAAGGAATCAAATGATGGAATTTCTGATTCTGGGAACATAGGGAAGTTGGGTTTAGAGTTGAAGAAAGATAAGAAGAAGAAGAGGAAAAGGGATGAGATTGAGGCGGAGTATGAGGCGAAGCGATATGGGGTGGTTCCTATGGAAGTGGTGGAGAAAGGGATTGGAGAAATGGTGGTAGGGGAAAAGAGGAAGAAGATGGATAATCCAGAGGATATGATGGTCTCAAATGAGGGATTTGATGATGAGAGTAAACTTTTAAGGACAATTTTTGTTGGGAATTTACCTTTGAAGATCAAGAAGAAAGCTTTACTGAAGGAGTTTGGGAGTTTTGGAGAGATAGAATCAGTGAGGATACGATCTATTCCCGTAGCTGATGTGAGTGTTAGCTATTTATTTTTTGCATCAATGTTCTTTACGTGTTAAGAATTATGTCTACATATTTTCACCTTGGAACCTGATTTTGATTTGAAATGTCCTTTTTGGCAGAGTGCAACTCCAAGGAAGGCTGCTATCATTAAGCAAAAGCTCAATGATAATGCAGACAGGTTTGATAAACACATAGCAATTAAACTGTATTATGGCTATTTTCATTAAGCAAAAACTCAATGATAATGCGGACAGGTTTGATAAACACATAGCAATTAAACTGTATTATGGCTATTTTCATTAAGCAAATGTACCCCAATAGAGTGGAATGGATACTGAGGATTAATGTAGGTGACCCCAACTAATTTATATTGAGGCGTCATTGATTGATTGTTGATGATGCTTCTCATAATTATAGTCTAGTAAGTTGTACTAAGATATCAAAGTTACTTGATCATGCATATGGTATGATAGAGACATCCTTTCTTTTCTTGTAACGGGGATGGGAGATAAAACTTTCTTGTTCATAAACTGTTGCTTCTTTGAATTCATTGTTATATCAGTATATTTCTTTGTATCTGATTTCCTGTTGTATGATTAAGGTTGTTTGGTTGTAATTGCAGTGTTAATGCTTATGTTGTTTTTAAATCAGAGGAATCTGCCCAGGCATCTTTGGCTCATAATATGGCAGTGGTAAGCTTTTCTTAGAGTTGATTCATTTGCATATTCTTCTGAAGATAACTCCTTTTCGGGAGTCGGATAGTTGGGATGTTTGATAGTACTTATCTATATATATAGGTTGGAGAAAGACATATCCGAGTTGACAGAGCATGTCCACCACGCAAGAAGATGAAGGGAGACAATAGTGCACTGTATGACAACAAAAGGACTGTTTTTGTGGGTAACCTTCCATTTGATGTGAAGGTCCGTTACCTGAGGGTGAATGCTTGTTACTGTTCTAATCAGCCTTTTTCTTTCTGTATCCAACAATGATTTTGTTCACTTCCTTGCAGGATGAAGAAATTTATCAGCTGTTCTCTGGTATGAAAGAGTTTGGATCGAGCATTGAGGCTGTTCGGGTGATCAGAGATCCCAATACTCTCCTAGGAAAAGGAATCGCTTATGTTTTGTTCAAAACGAGGGTATATACTATCAACTTCTCTTGTTTTTCAAATTTATAATGGCATTACTATTTTTTTTTATACATCATACTCATTTGAGGTGATTCATAGTGAATAATTGGCACTTTGATTTTGGAGACGAACTAGAAATATATCCTTATCTGGAAATAAAGTTTTTATGTTTGCTTTAACAACTACCTGGGGGCTGGGTTCTCTGAATGATAAACACAGTAAAATAATATAACCTAGTAGTATAGAAGCAAGGCTTAGTTGATTGATTGCTTTATTCAGCATCTTGGATTAGCAAGACAAAACTCATTTTGTTTCACCTGGGAAAAGAGAGACAAGTCTTGGTCTATCTAGCTTCTTCACATTTAATTGTTTTACCAATTTTGGAGGAGTTTAAGATTTGTGCTGTGTGCTTCATATTCGATAGACTACTATTTTAGCTATTGTTGGCATGCACCTCCACTGTTATATTGGAAGATCAAATTTTTATTTTAGATTAGTTTCTTGCTTTTAGTTATAGCATTTCATAGACAAGGGTATTTATGGTTTAGGGTCTTTTGTGGGTCATTGGTGCTAATCTAAAAGGCCATTTAACTATTTGAGATTATTCAGTTCTTCGGTTTGTCCTAGAAGTTTCAATTAACTTTTCCTTGGCTTACTTTATTTGGTGGACTTTATGGATGAAGAAGAAGTGGTTTTGTCAAGTGTATACGCACTTTGTATGAGAAAGAAAGGATATAAACATAGTGGTTGTCTAACGAGATGCATTAGCTGCTTTAATTTTTCTTTTTTGGATTAAGGATATCTTTTCAATTGTTACTCTTCTCCTGCCATGTAACTGAGCCATCAGTCCCTATTCCATAATCTAAATCTAAACTTAAACTGGCTGCAGTTTTATCTCTGTTTTCATCAAGTAATTCTACCTTGTACTTGTCCTCTTTGTTTTGTTACTCCATCCATCCCAATTTATGTGGCACTTTTCGCTTCTCGAGAGCCAACTTGACTAATCTTTGAAGCTAAATTGGAGTAGATCAACTTAATATTTTATAATTAAAATGTAGATATTCAATAAGTACATGAAAAGTACTAAAAGCTGCAATTCTTTCCATGCCAATATGATTAATAAATACATTATATAATGTTGGTCAAAGGTCACATAATTTGAATCTCGACAAGCAAAAGGTGCCACTTAAATTAAGAGGGCATGTATCCTCTTTATTCTAGTAAAACTAGAGCAACTAAAAAAGGAAAACCGGACTGACCCTAACCACCTTTTTCCTTGCTTTGCCACACAAGCACTGAAGCTTGTAGTTTTCTTGATCTTTTACAAAATGTAGAAAGCAAATTCAACCTCTGAAACTTTAGAGCTAATCGTCTAAGGAACAGGAAGAAAATGAGTTGAGGCTCAAGGAAAGATGGAGTACCTTTCTTTCAAACTAGCAAAAACTAATGGATACATTTTCTTGAGCAATTATCCTTTGTTTCCCTCTGAACTGAAAGAAAGTGTGCTGACAGGCAGGATAAAAAGCAAATCATAAACCTTTCTTCTTCGCTTTTCAATAAATTAGACCATAGTTTGTAATGTAGTGACAAATGTTCCACATTAATGAGAAAAACTTCTTGCTTAGTGCTTCTACCTGCATTAGGGGGAGATGAGAGAAGAAACGTCCCATTTATGTTGATCTTCTCGTTGAGGTGGATGATGCGTAATCAGCCTTATGATGGGATTTTGTAGTAATCTAGCTTTCCTTCCTCAGTCTTGTTGATTGGAGCCAGTTGCCCAATAAACAGATATGTAATCTGACGGTCTTTTACAAATGGTTGGAATATCATGTTTGATATGTATCATTCTTTGTCTACATGGTTCTTTTAACAAAGTAGTACTTTGTTGCAAAACATCATAGAAGGAATAATAAAATTACCTACAGAAAGATTTGAAGGAAAAATAAATTGAAAGAACGGTTCGGTTTCTAGGACTCTCTTTTCTTTTCTAATATTACAGATAAGGTGAAGTTCTTTTGTAAGGATGGGAGTCACCAACTGTTCAGTAAGTTTATATCCTGGTTGCTGAACTCAAAATAAGTTGTTCCTTATATATTATACTTGGGTTTGCAGGAGGCTGCGAACACTATTTCTAGAAAGCGTAACTTGAAATTACGAGATCGCGAGCTGAGAGTGTCTCATTCTAAAGCAGATTCTACTCCATCTAAGAGGAAAAGTTTATCAACCGAAGACAGATTCAGGTCTCCGGCAAAGAAGTTTGCAGCAGATTCAGCTAGACCAGGCAGTAGTAGCTTTAAGGCTACAACAAAGTCTGACATGTCCTATCAGGGCGTGAAGGCAAGCAAATCTGGTGTCCAGAAGAAAACTCAATCGAGGATGAGCGACCGGGGAAATTTGAAACCTAAAGCACAGTTATCGACAAAGCCAAAAGAACGCATATCAAAGAGACCATCTGTTGCTGCCCGAAAAGCAAAAGAACTCAAGGCTGCTGCCTCTGGCTCGAAACAAATGGGAACAAAACGGAAGCTGGACAACCGAACACCTGACACTGCAGGCAGAAAGAAGAAATTTAGAAAATCTTAGGTCATACATCCTCAACAATTTTATACATGAAATAGTGTTCATTCATATGTTCACTTTTCAGGATTATAGTTTTCTGTTTCATCTTAAGAATTAAATCGTGTACAACTCCCTCTTTAATCAAGGTTTAGTAGATTACGTTATTGATTCTGTTTGTATGCCCAATTTTTCTTGATCGTTGTATGGACAGATAATTTCTGAGGCGAATTTGCGATCAAATTCTTGACATTGTATTTTTATCATCAATGCATCCTTAGATTCTATATCCTTTTTCTCTTCTAGCTGGTGAGTTCTTATATTGATTTCTCAACTCATAATAACAATGGAGCTTATGGTCTGGTTACGCTTTAAGCCAAATTTGACTTCTCTCTCCCTTTGAGATGGTGGCATTTCCCTGACATGCATTAACGTGAGATACTTTCGTTAATACTTTGTACATTGGGTTGCCCTCATCAGTTAATGTGAGATACTCCGTACATTGGGTTGCCCTTACCACACAACTGATCTTGAAATCTAAAATTGTTGCTCTACGTTTTGCTCATTTTTCTCCCATGCAAGCTCTCTTTAAAAAACACCAGAAAAGGTCTAATTGCACTAAAAAACTAGCATATCCAATCAAGTTGTTTAAGATTTTGGCTCTCTAACTCTTCATTTATTTAAATATGAAACTAAGGAAAAGAGAACAGATGGAAGAAATGAATATAACATCTACTGTGATGTCTTCCAATAGCATGCCAAATAAACTATTACAGAATCATGACTGGAGTTTACATATCAATATCTTCAAATGACATCAGATTTTTTTTCTTTTGTTGCTTTTGCAACTTATAGCTAAACAAATTGCTTCAGGAATAAATTCAATAGCTTCATAACTTTCTGCGGCTGAGACTTGAGCACAATGCAACTGTCTAACGCTAATCTGTACAGATAATGAAGTCATGCCGAGGAAGATTAATGGTGGTCTAGGCACTTCACAGTGCTTTCTGATGATGCTGAGCTCTGTATTAGTTCTTGTTTCCAATCAATGTCGGGGTAATAGATACAAGGCCGATAAGGAAAAGAGTACCTATAGAATGCATGTCATAGAGATCACCCACTGACTGCAATTCACCAAGAGTTATTCCAGCCTGCATTGTAATCCTTGGTTAGCAGAAACAAACTAATGCATTGTAAACTCCTGGCTTGTACACTAGCGTCCGAATTTTCAGCAAATAGGCTATTTGACTACTATCCTAGCTCATGTTCACACAATGAGTTCATTAAATCAGACAATAAACTCTGCTGTCATCCTTATCTAATATTTATTTACACAAAAGGAGCTCACCAGACAAACTCAAATACAAGTAAAAGATCAGCCTTTTCATATATTTAAGATGTTCAAATTTTTAAATCGATTTGGTGAACCCCATTCCCAACTCCCCTTGCCAGGAGTCGGTGAGTCTACTCCCTCTTTACATGATAAATCTAAAATGGTTTTGTAAGTAATTTTATTCCGAGGCTACAATAAACATGGACCAGAAACCATAGTTGGCAAAAACAAAATATGTTCCCAATTGCTTAGTCATTGGCAATTAGCATCAAGAGTTGAATAAAAAGCATACATACCCTGACAGTGACATAAGCAGCTGGAATGATCCCAATGACAGTTGCAAAGAAGAATGTATGGTAAGGCACATCCACTATTGGTGAAGCAACATTGATAAATGTGTTTGGCAGTGTCGGTGTAACTCTCAAGAAAAGCATGTAATTAAGCAGCCCTTTTCGCCTTTTAGCGACCTGATAGATCAGAGATATTTTACTGCAACAGTAGCATTTAAGGAAAGCAGAAAATGATGACTGAGTTGTGAGTTGAAAATCACCTGGTCACGGAAGAAAGTTAATTTATCAGGCCATAGCGAGAACACAAGGGGCCGCCCAATCAGTTTGGATAGGAAATAACAAGATGATGCACCAGCAGTAGCGGTGAATACGACCAGTGCTACACCTCTGAAGACTCCAAAGAGAGACCCAGCAAGAAGTGACATGAAAACTGTTCCTGGGATCATAAATGTCTGCATAAAGATGTAGACTACACAGTATCCGACAAGGACCTGAACAGTATAGTCACTGGTATAGCTCTCCAGGTGATCCCTACAGAACATTTTAAACGATTGGTGGTATAAAAATCAAAAATCAATTCATATTTTAAAAAGATGCTGAAGCACATACAAGTGTCTTATATGGAAATTAGTACGAAATAAGATGAAAGAAATATTCATGTCATCTCCATCAATAACGACCGAAGTTTCGAAATGCAGACTTGCATGCATGTTCAACTACAATTGCAGTATTTTGCATCACCATAATGCCAAATGTTCAACTACAAGCGCTACTTGTAGATATGTACATATGTGCTTGCACAAATACACTTAGCATTTTTAAGTGCACAATTCAAAGTCAGGATATCTTTGGGATATCACCAAGAAGTTTAGTGAACAAACTTTATCTTCCCACCCCCTTGTTTAATCAGTTCCTTGGTCAAGTCCTCCACTCATACAATGCGTGTACATATGAATTCACTGCTTTCTTTATTTGTTGCATTATGCATGTTACATCTAAGAATCTGTTCTAACCACCATTCAATGGGATTTACTTATGACTCTCCATCAATTAGCAGGCAACTGCAGGTGTTCAAAATGCCCCTAAAACCACCAACTAAAATAGGCAGAGAGGCATAGTCAGATGTACAGACTTTTACTACCGAAGTCCCTGAAACTAGTAAATGCTTGTAAAGTCAGATTATATAAAACTCCCTCACGCTCATCCCCCTCAAGTTCATTCCAATACAACACAAGTGAACAACCAAGGCATAGCTTGCAGACTACCCTCACCGATGTTTTGTTTCCCTAACATAACCTTGAATTATCAACAGCTCCCACATCCAACCTGACAGTCAATTGCTACTCATCCCACCATTTAGTGCAATACACAAGAGATTATAAACTTTCTACTTTGATCCATGAAATGCTAAAAGGCTAAGTTTTCCGTCCTCCTTTCCTTCAGAAAATCTGTTCACTCTTGGGAAATAAATAGTGTATACTTCAGCTCCATCTAGATTCTCTCCTATGCTAATGGATTTACAGATGCTTATGCCACAGTCGAGTTGCCAACCACCTGAGTACCTTAGTAATGTCACTCATAGATCAGCAAATCCGCACATTTGAAGTCTTATCAAGGATTTTTCCTGCAAGAAATCCGTGATTTGAACCAGACTGACCAACTTCCCAAATGGTCACCAGCAGGCAGGAGGCACCAAAGCAAGACAAGAAAGAATAACAAGGCTTAAAAAATGAATGAAGTGGATGTAATTGTTAAGATTTTCTCTTGCAGAAATCTTTTACCACCATTATAGACCTTTTCAAAGGTATCTTTTTTACAACTCTATTAATTGGCCATACCCCTTTATTCCCAAGTAAACAAATTATGACTTTGTTCATTAAAAGTCTGCTTTTTTTTTTCTTTCAATTTTCTGGTTTTGGGCAATTGAAAAAAACACCATTTTAGCACTTCCTCATTTCCATCATCTCACAAAGCCAAAATTAACATGTTGAGAAGCAATTAATTAGAATGAAAAAACAAAAATCTCATAAAATTACCTGAGTATTTGAAGATCTTCAAGATTTCTAGGAAGCTTGAGGAAGCTATAATCCGAAGCAGGCATGGTGAGATAAACACAACCAAGACCCAATGCATAACCCAAAACGACACTAACAGCTACACCAATCTCCCAAAACGACAAAGGAAACTTAGCAGATTTCGATTCATTTACAATACCACCACTGCCCCCTTCCCCTTGTGTTTCACATTTCAATGAATCAGCTAAAGCCGCCATGGATGAACATGTTCCAACTTCTCCCTCCATTTTTTACAACAAAAATCTCACAAACCCAACAAATTTCTTGAACCAAATTGAAAAGAAAACAACTACAACAGAAAACAGAGCAGAGAAAGGAAATTGAATTTTGAGGGGTTTTTTGTTTGCTCTTTCTTCAATCCCCCTCTCCCCTCTTTCCCTCTCTATCTCTATCTCTGTGTGCTAAAAAAAAAGTTTACTTTTCTCTTTGTCTTTCTCAAATCATTTTATGGAGGAAGATAAAGCATATTCCTTCGTTCTCTGAATGAAACCAAAAAAAGGTAAGAGGAAATTGAGACAATTTGAAACTTTTAGGGGTCATTATGTAATTAAAGAAAGTTTAAGAGAAAAGAAATGATTGATGTACGTACTTTCGAGTTTCGACTCGTTAAACGTTTTCATCGTTTGTTTGGTTTTTCCTTTTTTATTTTATTTTAATGTAAGAGGTTGTTTCATATTGAAGTTCAATTTACTTTTATTTAAGAATATAATAATTTGATCACCACATCTCAAGTTGATTAATATATGATGTAACTATATTATTTTGAACTCGTAGTAAACAACTCTTTTTATAATATCAAATAATTTTAAAAATAAAAGACCTTTATTACAATATTCGATTGAATTCACATTTTTTAAAAGCAAATCTAGAAAGGTTATACACTAATCATATATACTTTTATATATATTATTTTGAATTTAAGAGGTTAAATGAGCGATCATTTAACTTAATTCTTCAATAACAGAAAAAAATAATTGAAAATCACAAGTATCTTCCTATAACAAGGAGTAGTATTAAATATTGACTTGCAAAAATGATAAATAATTAACTTGAACATGTTACTTATACTACATTAATAATATAAATTGTTTTTAAATGTGATTTTAAGTAATTAAGTTTTTAAATTATTTGTAATGTCCAAGACTATCACTCGAAATATTTTAAATTTTTTATGCTCCATAATTGGTGTAAATTTGTTTACACTTCCCAAAAAATAAGAATGAATGGGTTAAATATTTTGTTGTGACAAATTGGAAAAACAAGAGACCAGTGCTCTAATTTGACAAGGAGGAAAATGATGGGTTCACTTATTAAGTTTTTAATTTCTTTAGAGAATATAATATGAGAAATATAAATTACTTATACAGTGTAATATATATATATATATATATATATATATAATAACAATGATGACAACAACATAATGTGTTAAACGTAAAATAAAAAATTACAAATGATAATCGAAGTAAGAGACTAAGAAACTACGAGGACAATGCTAATGTCACAGATAAGAATGGTACATCTGGTAGAAAATCAGACTCAAACCTAACAAATTTCTTAATCTAATTAAAGAAGTTAGGCAAAATTAAAAAGGAATTGAAAAAAATGATAGTGACACAAAACTATAATTAATGCTCAATTTGCTAATCAAATTCAGTGTCAATCAACTTCAAGTTTCTGTTCAAAGAAAAAAAAATAAGTTTTTCTAGAAGTTTAGCGGCGAAAGATTCTATTTGTCAAATTTATGAGGATTAGACCGAAAATAACAAATATTATTGATCATTATTCACTACTATTATTTGTCAAATATATGTGATGCATGTGAAGAGAGAATTAACAATTGTGGTCCATGCATATATATGGTGAGACAAATTGGCAGATATTATTATTTTCCGGCGAGTTTCATATTTTAACTATTTATTATTTTTTATTTGTTTAAACTATTTTTTTAATTAAAAACACACTTTAATGGTGAGTTATGGCTTGAAAATGTTCATGTTTTCATTTGTCTATTTGATAGTTAAGTTAAATATATAAAATACGTTATTTCTAATTACATACATCAACATTGCGTAAAAACTATATAGAATTTTACAACTTATTGAGGTAAAAAGAAATGACATATTATGATGTAACTTAACACTACCTCATGAACTAATGAGAACACACAAAGAACTTTTTAAGATTTAAACTGAAAATGTCCCATTGACATGTTTTAATAAAATATAACTTAATTTAAATATTTAAATAAAATATTCTGACAAATTTAAATAACGAACGCGATGTATTATGCCAAAAAAAAATTAATCATACAAAACACACCCATAGTGTATATAAATTGTGTCGTCTCAAACGAGGAAGAGCATGTGGTGGTGTCAAGGGCCAAAGGGGTAACAAGAAGAGCAATAATTTGCTGTACATTAAACGTGAATTAGCACATGCCTTTTTTCCCCCTTTCATTGTTCTTTAGTGCTCTGAGCCACATTAATTAATAAGGGGGCGAATTTAGGTTCAAATTATGATATACGTGAATTTATGAATATTTTATATAGATATTTTTAGAATTAATTTCAATCTTTCATTTCATATTAATTTGTTTTTTTTAAAAATGAAATGGAAGAGTAAATTAGTTTTACTTAATTTTTTTTTAAAAAAGATATCAAGTCAATATGAATTAAATAATATTCTAACTCACAGGTTTTATAAAGACAAAATAGTGCACTTGATAAAAATTAATTTTATCTCTTTCTTTGATAATATATATATATATATATATATATATATATATATATTCGTATTTTAAAAATTCTAAATCCGCATCGATTTGGTTGGACTTTTCTAAGATAGAGACTCTTGAATGACCACATGATATGGCATATGAGATATAGAGATATTCTATTAGTGTATGATCACCTTCAAGTTATGCAATTTATTCTGATTTCTCTGCTACGCCTTTTCGTCTTTTTAGCTCATCAACGATAGGTAGCGTAGTCACGTTTAGAATGGTCGATAGAACATTTTCGTCAAAAAAATTATATTATATATATATTCAAAATTGTACGAAGTCTATATGTTAAAAAATATTTTTCATACATATGTATGTTAAATCTTGAACATTCTTAATGAAATCTCTGTCATCACCATTGTCAACTACATATATACTACTTTATATTTTTTTATTTCTTTTAGTTCTAGCTAGCTGCTTTTTAATTGATGAGAAAAGTCCATATATCTAAATTTCACCCAAAAAAGAGTATTTCAATAATTTTAATTACTTAGACTAGACGACCTATGATTTTAATTGAAGAACGTAACTTTTTAAATGAAGCTGAGAATCCTATTTCTTTTTCTGGGTGCTGGTTTTTCTTCATTTTTTTTTTTTTGGGCGGGGGGGTTGTTGATTAAATTTAAGTCTCACACTGATTATATGATGGAGCTGTTAATTAATGTTTCTTTTTAATGGGCCAATTGAAATGTTTGACTCGAATCACAGTATGAGAATCAAAATATCTAATATTCAGCGTGATTCACATATAAAAACTTCATTTCAATCTTAAATCTACATATTTAAAAATTATATATAAAAAATATTATAAGTAAAAAATTATCTAGATGATAAACATTCCGTACTGCGTATGCGGTTTCAGGAAGGAGTAAAAAAAAAGTTACAATAATTAATGATAAAAAATATATATTAAAAAATTTATGATTAAAAATATATTCTTTAATAGCCCAAAAATATTTAAAAAGTTTTTAAAATTATGATAAAAAAATATTCTTTTAACTATTCAATAGTAAGATAAATAAATTAAAGGGAGGGGTGTAATTTTATTTTTATAACACATAAAAGCAATTGATTTTTGAAATGGACCCTCGACGAATAAAACAAATGTTGCATAGATCTTCTTCACTTGAATTTAATATTATGTAGCTCAAAGTTATTTGGATCTTTCAGTATAATCCAAAGAATTATGTTTATAATTTTGATTAACGTTTTAAATTTTTTTACAACCAATTGAATTTTCAGCTAGCAGAGTATTTTCAACTGAAATTCTGAAATGAAAGTAACATGTAGTTCTGTTGTAACAATATATTAATTATAAATTTCCTGAAATTGCGTGTGAACTCATGTGCAAAATATATATATATATATATATATATATATATATACTCCACCATTTCAATTTATTACACTGTTCGAATTATTTGAGTCAAATAATTTAATTTTGATTGTAAATTTAATATAAAATTTTAAAGCCTTTTGAAATATATTTAAAAGATATAAAAAAATACGGAAAGAAAGACTTGTTTGAATATCGAAATTCAAAAACAACAATATAACAATATATCCATTAAAATCCCACAAATGAGGTTTGCGGAGATAGAATATACACAAATCTTACCACTACCTTGTAGAGGTAGAGAGATTGTTTTCGAAAGACTCTTAACCCAACTACAACAAATTTCGATACAAAGACAAAGAATTCAATGATATTGAAATTCAAAAAAATGTCATATAAATTGAGATACAAAGTATATATATTTTCAAGGAATTGCGTGTCACATGCTTAAGGTTATTTAATTAAACAATCATAACACAAATCCAAAAAAAGTATCCAACATTGACGTGAGACAAACACTATAATATGAAGTACAAATCACTTTTCTAATCCTTGCCATTATTTGCTTGAAAGCAATTAATATATATCCTTTCATCTTCTCCTTAAAAAACTAATTAAAAAAAGTGTACTTGTCATTAGGTAGGTCTAAAACCACGTTACAAGCAACAAGATAATTAATCATAATGATCTAGAGCTAACTACTCTTAAGAAAATCATCACAATTGTATCGTAATATAGGGTATGTGGAATTTCATGTGAATTAGCAAGGATCAGCTTGCAAGACTTGAATATTAGCAAAGTAATTTATATCGTAAAGAATCAGAGACGAGGTAAGAATTTTAATTTTATGGGTTGTGAATTTTTTATGATGACAATTTCAAGTGTTAATAACAAGATTATAAACTTAATATTTGTACATATTTGATAAACTTCTTAATATAAATACACTATTTAAGCAAAAATTATTGAGTTCAGTCGAACCCGTGCATGAACTTCTAGCTCTGCTAGAACGAATGAAAAGAATCTTGATATATAATATATAATCCTGCATAATCTAAAACGTTATAAGTTTTGATACGTAAATCAATTAATACAATACGAGCAAACTTAATTTGCTAGATATATTCATAGTAATCCAATTGTTCACCATGTATGTATTGTCATTACACAGTTACAAATTACGACTAACATAATTAAAGTAATTAATACAAATTAGACATAAGATTCCCAATATAAAAATATTTGTGATATAAAATATGAAAAGAGAATGACATATGTTTTTTATATAAGAAGATTTGATCAAACTAGTCACTAGTCAGATTACGTATTAATATATATCCATAAGACCATAACTTTAGGATCAACTCTGGCATAGTAAACCAAACATTAATAGTGAAACAAAAAAATGGACAATATTAATGTCACTAATTAAATTTTGAATAATCGATTTACTGTTATAAATTTTCTTAACTATTTCTCTTCAATATCATTGTAGTGAAATGATAAGTATTGTTTCATTCTTAATCAGATGTTTCAGTTCAAGTTTTGAATATGCATGAAAACATCTTTAATAGGAAACGTTTTACTCTTCAAAATAAGACTTTCCAGTATAAAACTAAATTAGACCCTAGAACATATATGAAACACCGAGTGAGAAATCAAAACGAAAAAAGAATATTCTCTCTAATATTTGCAAGTAATTTTCACATTGCAACTTGTGTAGTGAGTTTTAAGAGATTTTGAGAAAAAATGGATTGTATATATCTAGGTGTGGTTGGTGGCACACTTTACTACAGCAATATATACATGACAAAACATGAGACAATTTATGACATAAAAATCATGAATAAATCCACTAACAAATAGTGATGTTCACATGTGATCTTTTCAGGTTTTATTCCTTTCTAAGAAACTTTTTGTACATTAGCCTAAAGTTTACTAAAGATAAGTTTAGCACACAGAGCAAATCATTTGTTTTTATCCATCCAATTTGGTAAAATAGATACTATATGATATATATGTATCCAATAATTTCATGTTCATACAACCCTAGTACATAATCACTGATGAGAAGAAATTAACAAATAATAAATGGACACTTTGAAGTAAGTGGATCCTAGAAGACTAACTTTGTAGCTCACTTAGATCAATCAGTGAGTATTGACAAACTTCCCTTCCTTCTGTTTTCAGGACGGAGACTGTTTCTATCTTCGTCGAACTGCCTTGATGAAATTGAGACAATAAGAACTAAATTTCAAAGTTTACTTTTGTATTGTTTTTATAACAAAATTAAATTGGTGTATGTGGTAGGAGCAAGGGAAAAAAGATTATAAGATGGAGAAATCGAACCTTCTAAAACAAGGTGAAAGTTCAAATACTCAATCAACTGAGTTACTAAAATTTCTCATTTACTTTTGTATCCACCTATACATATATACATAATAAATACTTCATGAAAAACGTAGGTTGTATTGTAAGGTAGTAATTATATTTATTTGACAACATTAAAAGGATTATTGTGTGGTCCTCCTCACATTATTGTGGCTTTCCTACGATGGAAACAGTCTGGCAAAATAATTGACAATATTCATTTTTTTATATAAAGGACTGAGAAAAATTGACATCATTTTTTTTAGTTTGCTATTATATATGTGTATTCCAGTTTTGTGTCAACCAGCTTTCATAGCTCAGTTGGTTAGAGCACCCGTTTAGTAAGCGGGAGGTCTTGAGTTCAACTCTCAATGAAAGCATTTTTTATTTTATTTGTCAAAAAATTCTGGCAAAGCTACTCTTGTTTGAGGGAAGTCAATTGACATATGTAAATTACACCGTATAAATAGGTCAATTTTTTTTTATGCATGCATATATACTATACGTTGAATGGCCTTTTAGTGAAAATTTTGGCCTTGTCATTGCCCGAAAGGCTAATTCTCAATGAAAATACAGGCCTACAAATGTTTATGCTTTTTTTTTTTGGCATAATACATAAACATGACCCTTAACTTGGCTTCAACAAACAACTATGTCCTCCAACTTTGAATGTGCACAAGTAGACACTTAAACTTGTATAAAATTGAACAAGTAGACACAAGTGTCCTACGTGGCACAAGACACATAGGACGCCATGTAAGACAAATGTGTCTATTTGCTCAATTTTATACTAGTTTAAGTGTCTACTTGTGCACCACCCAAAGTTAAAGGTCATAATTGCCAACTGACGTCAAGTTAAAGATCATGTTTATGCATTATGCCTTTATTTTTTTCTAGTAACTACCATCATTTGATCTGAACAAAAAGGTTTACCTTCTCTTTTACACAATGAATACTAATTTGAGATAAACTAAAGCACCAAAACTGCAGAATTTAGAAATTGCTTCTCAACACACGACTAAAGCATGTTTTTTCATGAACAAGTTGAGCTTAGTAGCCTTGTATGTGGTCTCGAGTTTCCTACTCGGTGGCCTGATTTTCTTGAACACCAAGGGGAACTTGATCTTGGAGTCATGGAACTGCTTTGTGCTCTCCCTCTTGCAGAGCTTAGCTGAAATGGTGGCCGTCTTTATGATCTGGATGCAGTGATGGTTAACTCTGTGACGAGAAGCCATCTCAGTGTACATCTGCACCATTCAATGTGGTGTCACGGTACTCCTTGTACATATTATGGTATCCCATTCCACTTTGGTAATGGAGCCAAATACCATAGTTCTTGATTTTTGTTGGGTACTTCTCAAAGATCTCATTAATAGCCAGCATCTGCCCGTTGCTCTTCTTAAGTTTCCTCAGTAAATACCAGAAGTTGGACTTAGCACGAACTTCATTGGTAGCCCACAGCTTCATACGATAAATCTTGGGATGCTAATCTGATTCAGATGGCAAAGCTCTCCCAACAACCTGATACTGATGGAACTTGTAATTCACCATTTCTGCACAGCTATTCCCTCTGTAACGCTTCTGAATACCAACCAAATGTTTATGTAATTTTTCTTATTGCACAATATGATACATCCCAACTTTGTGCATAAAATACAGCCAATAATCAGGGCAGAAAAAATTGGTCTAGTTTACCCCCAATAGTTACCTTTGGCTTGCTTCATATCAGCTAAACAATGTTAAGCTATAACAAAAGTTCAAGTTTCACATGATTCTTTGCACAAAATCACAAAGAACTCTTCTATTACTGGACATCGAAGACACGAAGCACAAGCATTAAGGAAAAAGAAAGACACTTGATCACAAGACAATTTCTGAAATATGTTGTCTGTTCTTTCTAACGGACAACAAAAGAACAATAAAAATAAGAACAACAACAACAACACGAATATAATCATGTTCAGAAATGCCGGTTCTTGTTCAAATTGACTTACCTAAGTCAAAGTAGTAACTGACTCATAACTCTTTCGAACAAAATTTCTAACTAGTATGTACCATGTGACACTATTGGGAATGAACCCAACAGCTATGCCTCTAGTAAACAGGGTATAAGCATCATCAAGCATGCGCATTTTACAATAGGAAGAAATCAAGGTGTTATAAGTGATAGTATCAGGACAAACTCCTTCAAGTTCTAATTTTTCAAAGAGGTTCTGAGCCTCTCGAATTCGACCATTGTTACAAAGGCCATTTATTAGACTGTTATATGTGACTATATCAGGTGTCAATCCACGATGTATCAGGTCTCTCAGAAACTCAAGGGCATTTTGAACCTTACCTATTCTACAAAAGCCGTTGATCAAGATGTTGCACGTTACATGATTAGGTTTTGATCCCTTTCTCATCATTTCTTCAAAAAGTCCTACTGCTCTCTCAACTGCTCCATCATTGCAAAGTGCTTTTATGAGGCCATTGTATGTGATCTCATCAAGGGGACATCCTCTGAATAACATATCATTTACAAGCTTAAGCGCCTCTTGGGTTTTACCTTTCCTCAAGAAAGCATGAATCAATGTGTTGTAGGTAACTGTATTAGCAATAACTCCTTCCTGGAACATATCTCGGTATATCCCCAAAGCTTCATCCATCTTGTCAATCTTGCAAAAGCCTAAAATCAAAGCATTGAATGTAAAAATGTCTGGTTTGCATCCGTTGCTTGACATATCACTAAAAATTTCTAATGCCTGTTGGATCATTCCTTGTTTACTCAAAGCTGATATAAGAGAGTTATAACCCATTATATTTAGGCTGAGACTTTTTGCTGACATCTCAGTAACAAGGTCATAAGCTTCCTGTAGGCGGCCAGCCTTGGAGAAGCCATCAATCAAGGTAGTGTACGTAATTGCATTGGGCTGGATACCTTTGGATGACATTTCGTTTACAACTTCATGAGCCGAAGACAAAATTCCCTTCTTGCAAAGACCTCGAATTAGAATGTTGTATGTATAAACATCTGGTTGATAACCTTTAATCAACATGTTCTCATTCAGAATGGTTTTTGCTTCATCAACTCGGCCATTAGTCACATAGCCATTGATCAACGTATTAAAGAGGACATTATTCTGTTCAGGTGCTTTGTTGAGAAGAACCTTTGCTTCATCTACTCGCCCTGTTTGACATAAAGCATGCATCAGAATTCCATAAGTTATAGCATCGGGGGTGAAACCTCGAAGAAGCATCCGATCAACCAGTTTTGCAGCCTCATGAATCCTATCAGCTCGGCAAAGCCCATGGATAATGTCATTGAAAGTATTGACGTCGGGTATGCAACCCATAAGAAACATCTCCTCCAAAAGTTTTAACGCATCATTTACCCGATTAGACTTTGAAAGTGCATGAATAAGAATCTGGTAAATAACTGAATTTGGTACACACCCATGTTTTGTCATGTCTCTGAGAAGTGAACAAGCAGAGTCTACCTCATTGACTATACATAATGCTTGTATCACTCGAGCAAAAGTGAATACAGAAGGAGAAATACCTTTCCCCAACATTTCATAAAATACATTTGGAGCAACTTTGGGACAATTTCCGGCTAACAGAATATCCAACGCTTGATTATATGACTTAAAAGTGGGTTCACAAGAGAAAGTATTCCACATATCCAAAAGTATTCTAGTTGCTTGCCCTGGTAAACCAGCTCTTCCGTAATGCCTCATTATCATAATAAAGAGGGACTCTTTGAAAACTGCCCCTTCATCTTTCATCTGTAATAACAATCTATCTATGATCTTAAATTCCTTGGCAGCCCCAAGTTTATCAATTAAAGTATAGTAGACATCAAATGAGTGGCAATAGCTCGTTTGGCTACTGGCCCACTGGAATAGCTCCATCGATGTTGGTACATCCAAAGGGAGTGCCAATAATTTATTGAGCTGATACGGGGTAATTTTATTGAGTGATCTTTGGAGTTGTTTGAAGTCAAAAGGCTTAAGCAATCTTTCCCATTCATTCTCAGACTCCGACCCATTGCCCCTTGCTTTAGCATTATCACACTTGTCATCAGTCACACAAGTACAAAATGCAAATGTAGGGTTCCTATTCAGAGATCCTAGCTCTTCACGTATGTTAATCAAAAGTTTCGACCTTTTTAGCATACCTTCAAATGAGCAGTGCAGAAATTTCAGAACTTAGCCATTACATGTGATTCGAGAACTTCTTCAAGAATTGTCATGATAGCTTCTCCAATTTGGTTTATCAGTAACCAAATTTAAGCTCCATCATTGTAGCAGAGACATTTCTTTTCCTGGAATATTCAACAATAAGATAATACACCAACTTCAGATTGATACAAAAATTCAAATGTGTTTAATAGAAAAAGCAGACACGGGAATTAGGGTCCCAGTGTTCCACAGCATTTTCCAGTCATAAAGACTTAAAACCAAACAATATACTTAAAATAGAAATTAAAAACAATCGCAGAATAATGATTTCTTAGTATCAAACTAGATAGCACGGGCCCAACATTTACTAGTTTTAAGGCTGTTTTTTAGAATATTGATAAATTATTTATTGTTTAGCATTGACTCAAATTTCAAACAACTATTTGTCTATCTGAGTTTTAAGTTTTAAGTCATATTGTTCTGAAGTTCAGTGTTTCATGTGCAAAATTTCATAATTCTATATCCTCATGTTCATTTTTTTAGTTTAATATTTCAGATGAGTTCAATTTTTCAGTTCAAATTTCAAGAAATTGTATCCCTAAATTATGTATTTTCACTTCAAAACTTCTAATTGCAACTTATCAGTATAAAGTATTAATCAAAACTTAACATTGTCAATTTTGCTATTCTAAGTTTTGATTTTTCAGTTCAAAATTTAGAACATTATTATCCTAAGTTTCAGTTTCCAATTCAAAACATCATGACATTGTCATAAATATTAGTTTTCCAATTTAAAATTAGGATATTATATCCTTATGTTTGATCTTGAAACTTTCATCATGTAGCTCAAACTTCATGATTTTAATATCAAACTTCAAACTCGTACAAAATAAGGCTTAAAAGGGGGGGGGGGGGGGGGGGGAAATGATTCAGACAATAATTGGGTTCACATATAAGGTGAAAGGACGGCCACACTGGTTGATGTGTAGAGGAGGTGGGAGTGAAGTGAGGATAATTAAGAAGCCAATTGACCCAACTTGTATGCCAGCTCGCTGGGTACCAATTCAAAACATCATGACAGATGTCCAGACATGATTTGATTACTCACAAATTCGCAAACTTGATGAGTGGAACTGTAGGAAAACTTATTTTAGACTGCACACATACTTTAGACATCATTACAGGGTCCTTGGTATGCAATACCAATATATAGCAGAACATGTATTGATGGAGAAAGTAGTAAAGAAAAGGAAAAGAAAATTCACCTCTAACGCCAGTTGCTCAAATATATATTCAATAATTGCTCGGTACTACTCCGTCTGACCTATATTGCATCACAAGTTATTTGCTTCTGCAAATTGCTAACAACAGAAATATGCCTTACATGGAGACCAACCTGTAAAACTCAATAAATTAGGAACCACAATTAAAAGGGCAATTGCATCAATAAAACAACAATAACATACTTATAAAGTGGGGTCCGAGAATGATAGCATGTATATAAACCTTACCCGGCCACTATCTTAGAAGCGGCAAAATTGTTTCCAATTGGCTCTCGACTAAAGGAAAAACAAGTCCGAAAAAGAAATAACAGAAGTACAAGAAACATAAGATAATAACAAAAAACAATAGATAGTAAGAGAATAGAAATTACAATACAATAATCGAGGTACATAAAACAATAGAGAGTAACATAAATCAAAGGACAAGAAACTACCAAAGCAATACTATGACTACTAAGATAATATTATGCTAAAAGCTACATAGATTCAGCTAGAAAAAATTGATTCCTTATATTTAGAATCTGCAACTAAAACAAAAGTATAAAACATCAATATAAAAGGTAATGATTCTTTAACATAAACAATATTTGGACTGTAATTCTTATATTGGAACTAATCAAACAATTTATCACGGTTTTCCCAGATGAGTGTTTTACATATCAAACAGACGAATTGTTTAAGAACTATGATCAAAGTCACTAAAACACATCGTTTAACATACAAAATGGATGTTTAAGTTTTTCAGGAAATCTCGGACAAACCGTTATGTAGATTAATAAAATTTGATCTTAGGAGTCATAACAAACTTTAAAATGACTTGATGCACACTTTGTTATTCCAGATTATTCAAAGTAAAATACATAACTATTGTCCATCCACATTAAGAACATAATTTGGATTCTAATGGATTCTGAACTTGTTGCCAAGCACCTTTATTTGATATTAGACCATTGATACAGGTAAAAGGAATTTAAACTTTAGGCCTAGGGAAAGCTATATTGCTCGAACTCTTCAAAAATGTCACCAGTTGCGTGTCCAGCACGGGTGAAACAACAACAATTTTGAGAAGTCAAGTAACATAGAAAAGGGCTATCAAACCCTCTACAACAATGACTATGCCTCCACTCGAGCAAGTTGGGAAGTCAGATATAAGAGTTTTGAATGATCATGTTGTTTCATTTAAGCATATTTCATTCCAAAATGACTACTAATCCTTTACACTGGGAAAAAAACTAAACTTAGCTTCAAGAATACTCCGAGGTAGAGGCAGAGGCAGAGCTACAAGCTTGTCCACAGATTGAACAAAATGAAGTAGCTTTGGCCCAAAATTCAATAAGTTGTCTTTTCTAGAATCTAGAACTCATAACCTCAAAATCCTAGCTTCGCCTCTACTTGGCAAGATCATTTTAAAGTGCAGAATACTATATGAAGATTACTATATCCGTAAGTGGATGATATTGAAGAATCAAATTCTTTACAACTCCATTCTTGCTAAAAGAACTTGATTCATGTTTTCACCAATCTAGTAAAAAAGGAATTATTCTATAGAAGAGGAAACAAGCAAGGTACTGTCAATGAAGTCTATGACAAACTACGCTTCGATGTGTAATTAGGACTTATCTTTGAAAAATGAAAGTAAAGAACAACCTGGTGAAGAATAGTCGGCACTCCAATTTCTCTTGATGTTTAGCCAGCGAGCATACAACGTCTAGGCCTTTAGTGCTATGTACTCTGGTCTCTGGATACGCCAGCTTGATGATGATTCAGGAAATATCAATGAAAGCTGAAATTGCAGCATTTACAAGCTCCACTAATTTAGTGAGAAATTGACGGTAATTGCATTAAAAAGATTATCTTTTTCGAGTCTGCTAGAATGTTTGATTTGGGGATTTGTTGAAAGCTTTTGCGGAGAGGTTTTAGGGAAGGGGACGTTTGGAGCTTCTGCGGACAAGGATATGGTTCCTTGAAGATTGAAAAGAGATGCAGATCAGAAGTTGTTTCTAGAAGAAGTAGTTTTTCAAGAACAACTTCAGAATAAAAATATGTTTGATTAAAAATATAAATTTGAAAATTACCATTCTACCCTTGGTCGTCCATTTGTTGACATTTCTATATAGTAGAAACTATTATTACGAACATAATTTACTTCACAATCGTCTGGATGAGTTTTTGTATAGTGAACACAATCAATGATAGCATCAATCTCAAGTAAAATTAAATTAAATTCACAAACCACAATTCAATATCAAATCTTAATCCACCTCAACTTGCCAATCCAATTCAGTTCAACTTCAATCGCGATTGTCCAAAAAATTGATTTGCTAAGAGAAAGAGGAAAACTAGTTAATTTCACCAAAAGATTAATGTGATGATTACAAATTCATAGCATATTGCTAATATAGAGTTTTAATTCACTGCAAAAGATGTCTTAGAAAGGGAAAGGATCAATACCAAGCAAAATTCATTTTCTTTCACAGAAAAAAATAGCAAAATATAGAGGATTACCCAAACTCTTTTCCATCAGTTCTGATGCCATTCCTATCACAGAGAGGAAAAGTATTTTTCCAACTCTCTTTCCTTTCATAAACTGCATAATCAACGCTCAACCACATCATGCTCCCATCTCTCTAAAGAATCTCTTACTCTCAGCAACATCCTGATCTCTGTTTTAGGTCCTTTCTCTACTAAATCTCCTATCCTTCAAGCAGTCCTTCGTGCTTTATATCTTATGGTTACTTCTGTTGTTTCTTGTCATAGTTGATGGCTAGTTCAATGTTTGAATGATTTAAAGGTGCTATATTTAATCCCTATCCCTATGACACTGATATAATGATTGTTGTTCGGCAACTATTCTGTTGTGAACGCGGATAGGTCAGAGGCTGGCCAAGCTGTTGGGCCTGGGACTAAACTACAAAGAGGCCCAAGAATTAGACAGCCCAATAACAGATTTGCTTGGGATCCAGGTTGAGTAGAGTTTAAATGGTTTCGTTTGTGGTTATGGAGGATTATGCGTATTTTGAAGAAACTGTCTCTTTCTCTCATCTTCTTTCTAGAGACTAAACTTCTCATCCCCATTCTTATCTTTATCCTTAGTTACTTGTCTTCTCCTTGTAATCCAAGTGTTGTTATTATAATTTGGCTATCAATGATTATTTAATGTTTGAGTATTTGTGTTGAGAAATCGGGTTTGTTGCATATTCTAGTATTGACCACATCTTTTTCCTTTACATTAACATGCTTCCTTTCCTTTTCTTGTACTATTATCCAATTCTAGGAAAGTGTCTGCCTTATCATTTCAAAATTATAATGTCTTCCCCCTGCCTTTTTCCCTGGTGAAAGAAGAGAATCTAACGAGTTCAACTACCTAGAGAAACTTGAAAGAGAAAATCTTCCAGAAAAGTATCACAAATTGTCAAGATAATATTTGGAATTCCTTTTCTTACTCAGAGTAAAGTTCAGCATTTCTGTTTCATATTAGATCGAACAGTTTTAAAGCCATGTTAGCATACTTACCCATATTTGTTGATGCATGACCACATAAAGCAAATAAACCCTCAACACTCAAGCAGTTAATATGTTGTTGTATTCCATTTTACACAAGAAACCGATAGAGATTAAACTTAAGTTTAATTAAGCCAGAAGATGTATGAGTTAATGTGTGCTCAACTTGAAAATTACAACAAAAAGTGGAGGATTCTTATTCCATTTTTTCACCCTTCATTTCTAATGACATTATTCAACTATTTCAACTTCCCTAATGAAATCAAACATATACAAGCAGCAATTCAAAACCAAAAAAGTACTTTTACAAGCCTATAAATAAAACCGTTAAACGTAGGAAAGCAACACGAATTGCAATTGGAAGTATAATCCACATGAATCCCTATTACCCATTTTGCTCTAATAAAGCCCATATTGTTTCAATCAACAACAACATACACACTGTAATCCTAATCCCACAAAGTAGTGTCTATGGAGGGTAGGTGTATAACATTACTCCTTATCTGAGGTAGAGAGATTGTTTCGTATAGTCCGTCAGCTCAGGGAAAAACAG